CAAAAAGTGTGAAAAAGAGAATTTGAGGTAGGATCCCTCGTCTTACGGAAGGTATTCCTCCCCACAATCGACAGTGGATGCCTAGGACGGAATTGGGAAGGTCCCTATCTGATAACGAAGGTCTTGCTAAAAGGGGCATACGAACTGGAAGACTTAGGAGTAGACCCTTACCCCGTCCGTGGAATGCCGAACACCTTAAGCAGTACTATCAGTGAACGGGAAAAGCCCATATAAAGCCTTCTTATAATGTCAATCACATCAATAAAAAGGGACTTCCTATTTTTGAACATTTTATTCAGCAATCTGTCAAAATCTTATAAAGCCATGCTGCATATGCAGGCCGATCTAAGGTCGTATGTGGAAAATTCTTCCTAAGAAATCTTATAAAGTCCTGCTCCATACGTAGGCCGATCTAAGGTCGTATGTGCTGCGACACTTAGTGAGAAATTCCTCCTAATGAATCTTACAAAGCCATGCCCCATACGCAGGCCGATCTAAGGTCGTATGTGCTACGACACTTAGTGAAAAATTCCTCCTAAGGAATCTTATAAAGCCCTGCCCCTTACGCAGGCCGATCTAAGGTCGTACGTACTGCAACCCTTAGTGGAAATTTTCAATGCCCTGCTCTACATGCAGGACGAGCTAAGGCTATACGTGTACTATACTTAGTAAAAATGCCCTATGCATAAGCCTGGTTTGGAAAGCAGGTATTGCACAACTAGGTAAAATTCATTCAAGGTAATTCTACATGCTATTATAACGCTCTTACAAATTTAGCTAAGTTTGTGAGGTATTGTCACAAAAAAAAACCCAGATCTCTTCTAAAGAAACCGTACTGAGCATAAACAATTATCCATTCCAAACAAAATGTCATAAAAAGTCAAAACAAAGTTCACTCATAAGCCAAAAACATATTGCAAAACTAAATACCAAAAACAATGTTTTTAACCGCATAGTGTCTTGGTGGGCTGGGGTATTATCCTCAACATCCTGAGCTGTCGGTAATACCCGGACTCCAGCAGACTTAGACAACCTCCGCAGCTCCTCCTTCTGCCCCTCCAGCGCCTCATCCAGAAAGGCCACATCAATATTAGGCCTCTCCTTCCTGATGTGCCCCACCAGCTCTTCCAGTGCTACCACATAGATATCCTGGGCTACGACATCAAATTTGGAAGACTCCTTCCAAGCGTCCACCGCTCTATCAACCTTGGCCTCAGCCTCTTCAGCCCTTTTGGTAGCCTGCCTTGCCCTTTCGTTGGCCTCTTGTACCTTCTGGATGGCCTCTCTAACTTTGCCGCGCTCCTCCTCAGCCCGAGCTCTGGCCTCTTCCTCCGAGGCCCTCAATGCCTTGATCTCCCCCATCAATCTCTCCTCGACATCGATCCTGGAGTTCAGCCCGATCCCCATCCGATTCAGCTTCTCTTCATACTCTTTCTCCCTCAGAGCAAACTGGGCCTTTTCAGCCTCCATGCTGTTATAAAGACTGAAGGCCTGATCCTTTGC